ATATGCTTGATTAATCACCGATTAGAAAGTCTCTTCCACAAGGTAAATCTGGGAATCAAAATGCCACTCCAAGTCATTCACAACCACCTCCTTACCGTTCAGGTGGGAGTTAATGTCACACAAAATTGGGCCCTGGGACTTTGGAATCTGAATGGAGTATTAATCAATGTGAGCAGTGTTGAAGTTATACAACACCGTTTGGATTGTCGAAAATAACAAACTCTGGCTTTAGAAGCCTGTGTGGATCCAAGTGCCAGGAAACCCTACGGAAGGTCGTCCAATTTCCCTGGAGGGTAATGGAGTATTATATATAATAAATAATCCCTATAGCTCTTTATTACATCTAATATTCCACTTTTCTCCAGGAAACCCAGGAAGGGTGTCTATTCTTAGCTTCATAAAACTATGCTCCACAAATGTTGATTTAATAACATGGGGTGAAAAAGTACAATTCCAAAATTCTGATTTGGAATTATATCATGAAGCTAACTGAATTCCTGCAGGCTATATGAAGGAATCTACCTAACTTTCCAGAATGAATTGATTAAAAACAAAGACAGATGTTTTTGTAAAACAATTATTGTTTAGGCAAGAGGTCCCTTAGATTTCTTCCTCTGATCCAATATTCTATTTTTTTATTTTCCCCTTATAGCTCTAACACATACTTCTTGACACCGAGGTTTAAGGTCTAAGAGCTTTCCTATACCAGGGGTCACCAACTTTTCGGACCGCAGGGACCATTAAATTCATAATTTTAAATCCTACAGACATTAATATGATCTGCCTAATGACTGGTTGGGTGAGTGTGGCTAGGTGGTTATATGAGTGGGTGGGCATGGCCAATTCGATGTCACAAACATCAAGGGGCACCTTGTCAGCCTCTACTCGCCCCTCCCCTGCCAGCCACTTCTCTCCTGCCCTCCCAGGCTCCTTAGGGCCCCAACAGAAAGCAGCTGTTTGAGCTAAGCAGCCACCACGAAAAAGAGTTGACAAAAAAGCTCAGACCAAGAAGGAGGCTCAGCAGAAGCACCTCACCAAGGACTACCAGCATAGGCTTTCCAAGAAGAGGGAAGACTTGTGGGAGTGCAAGACCAGGTACCGGTGCATGGGGGCTCAGTGGGCTGAGATGGTCAGCCAGTTCCAGTCCACGATGCAGTCCCACTGAAACCAAGTCCTCCAGCTCTTCACCATTTGCAGCACTTCCCTCCAGCCTTCACCCTATGCCCCACACCAGGGAGGCTGAAGCAGATCCCAAGTCAGAATTTCTGCCTCCCTCCGACCTGCACAAAAAGACCCCGAAGGGGCAGACTCTCTGCAGCAACACAAGCGTTCATTGCCTGTATCTGGCCCAGGGGACCCCTGAAATCAGGACCCCTGATTTCATGCAATATAAAAAATGCAAATACTTTTTCTGCAGACCACCAAAATTTTCTCATGAACCAACAGTTGGTGACCACTGTCCTACACCCATTGGTAGTTGCCAGCTTAAGGGATAGCTAGAAGAGGTTGGGAAGAATAATTTCGCTCACTGTTATCTGGGATTTATTTTCAAACCAATGAAAATGTACATAGGAAACCGATATTGATAAACATGCCACTAGTCAATTACTTTAAACCAGTTACCCCATAAAGATATAAATGGTTAAGGCAACATGCTCATAATATTAAACAGTCTTGTCAAACTGTTGCTCCCTTTATGTGTATCATAAACAACAGGAGTGAGAATATTTTAGCTTGTTGTAAGACGCAACAAAATAAAATCAGAGACACTGAGAACCAATAATACAACAACTGGGAAGCAGGCCCAAAGATGCTTTTTCAGGAGCAACTGAAAAAGCAGCTTTGGGACAAATGTGACCTGGATGACCGAGAATCTCTACAGACTTTTAACTAGAAAGCATAGTCAGTTGCACTAATTGTTTTCCATATATTGATAAACAACTTTTTAAAAAGTTTCAATAAAATCTGGTGTGGATCTGGATAGCAATGTAGACAACAACAGAGAAGTTTTCTTTCATCAAACGTTTCTCTATGTTTTTTATTCTCCTTTCCCATGTTTTCCCCATTATTTTCAAGTTTTTTCTCACAATTTGGCAAGACAATATTTTCTTTTATATTAGAAAAAGCAAAGATAACTTAGTAATTCTCAGTGTGGAAAGTAAACACTTTCCCCAAAAATATTTTCATTATTTTTCATTTAAAATATTATTATTAGATTTTTAACAGATTAACAGAGTTGGAAGGGAGCTAGTAGGTCATCTAGTCCAACCCCCTTCCCCCCGCCCAAATGGAGGGTTGGACTAGATAATTCTGTTTGATTATTCTCCACTTTCATCTTATGAGTGGATAATTTTAAAATAAAATGCAATCTTAATTTACATTTTTAAAAGAACATCTATTAAAATGTTATTTTCTCACACGAATCTTCTCAAACTCTGAACACTCCTTTAATAATTTTAAAAATATTACTCCCTGTTTCTGTGTTTCTAGGAAGGTTTTGCTACATTTAGAAAATGCTGCAGGGTTTCCAAAGGCCTCGGTTTCTAAATTACCATAAAATGAGTAAGGAAAATAAAGTTTCCAATGAGTGGAATTCAGCTCATGACTTCATGGATATATAACCGCATATTTTTTCTAGCAACAGTAAAAACTGTCATTGCCACTAGGACAAAGTTTCTCAAAGTTTAGTCTGGAGTTCTCCGAGACCCATTTAGCAAGTCCACCAAGTTACATAAATATTTTAACACATAAATTTTTTCAGTTTTAATTTCTTACACAGTACATGTTGATAGATATAACCCACACCAATCAAAGCCCCTGAAGCACAATTGAGTAGAAGTATGAAACAAATTAAAGTCAAAGTGGAAAGTTTGGAAAACCAAAAGAACACATTTTGATAAAAAAAATAGTAAGGAGAGCATTGTTGAAGCCTTAACAAAATTAGGATGTGAGAAGCAAGAATATGGATGCAGGTCTGAGTATTGCAGTTTAATATCAGGTTAAGGAGTAAAAATGCGTGAAGAATGCTGCTAACAGAAATAAATACAAAATTGATTTCTCTCATACGTTAATAAGTACTTTTTATAAAATTCTGGAAACTTATGGAATTTTGCTGAAAATAAATGGAACTGTTAGTAACAGTTAAAAACTTGGATCTAGCAATTTGAAAGGGCTGGATATTGGAAGAAGGGATCTGCAGAAGGTAATTTCAAAGGGGAAGAAATGATATTAAGTCTCTTTNTTCTTTTGCCCTCAATCTTTCCCAGCATTAGGCTCTTCTCCAGTGAGTCCTTCCTTCTCATTAGGTGGCCAAAGTATTTGAGTTTCATCTTCAGGATCTGACTTTCTAAAGAGCAGTCAGGGTTGATCTCCTCTAGGACTGACCAGTTGGATCGCCTTGCAGTCCAAGGGACTTGCAGGAGTCTTCTCCAGCACCAGAGTTCAAAGGCCTCAATTGTCTTGCACTTATCCTTTCTTGTGGTTCAACTTTCACAGCCATCCATTGCAATTGGGAAAACCATAGCCTCAACTATACACACTTTTGTTGGCATGGGGATATCTCTGGCTTTTAGTATGCTGTCTAGATTTGCCGTAGCTTTCCTCCCCAGGAGCAAGCATCTTTTAATTTCTTGGGCTGCAGTTCCCATCTGTGGTGATCTCGGAGCCCTGGAAATTTTCCTGCTAGACTACTGCAATGCATTCTCCATGAGTATTCCTTTGAAGGCTACTCAAAAACTAAAAGACTGCAGTCCATTTTCTTTTCTCCAGGAGGTGCTCTGTGTCAGTTTTCCTCAATTTCAGCAGCTGTAAGATTTGTGGAAGTAAGATTTCTGAGGATTTAAACCTGCACATCTTAAAGCTGCTGTATTGCCAACTTTTCTTGCTATTATGGCTTGCCTTTTAATGTCCCAGAAACCAATTAAGGTGAATCTCCTCTGTACAACATTTAACCAATTATTGCTGGTTTTTTTCATTTAAATTTAACTCTTTATTCAAGATTGCTTTTATGATTTCAATATTGCTTTATATTTTTTATATTGTATGTTGCTTTGTGGGGTTATTGGATTAATCCATTTTCTGAGTTTGCCCTGTGTGCCCAATCATAAACTAACAAAGGGTTGGGCTATTTCTTTATTTAATTAGTTTCTATATGGTTTATAAATATGGTATGTATGTAGTTTTTATATACATTAGGGCACATATATAAACTAGGGCCTGTCAAGCTACAAAAGGCAAAGTTAACTGTTATCAAGTTCATCATGCTGCGTATTAGCCATAAGGTCTTTATCTAATCATTGGTATAAGATGTATAAAACTGATGTAACTTAGAGGAATGGTTTCCAAGTCAGTCATTTTGCATCCATTGGTCATGTTAAATAAATGAATCCAGACTCTGTATTTATTAATAAACCAAGTGGTGCTTAAAATGAGTGTAATTTATAATGTATGATTTTGTACAAAGCTATAGCAGAGAAGATTCCAGTGATATTGGGTTTGCTTTATGACATTGGTGGGCGTCACTGTGTGGGTGTATATGTTTCTTACATATATCTATGCTAAAGTTTCCTGAGAAACCGCACATTTGAATTCTGACAGATATCCAAGTTAACGTCACGCGTCTTGGGAATGGTGGAAGCCACACCCCGAAATCCCTTAGTACGCTTGCGCAACTGCGTTTTTGCTCTATTTTTTTTTTTAGCGGGAAGCCTGACATCACTAACACAGGAGGAGACGAAGGTGCGCTTGCGCATCTCCCGCATATGACCTTTGCTGACCCGCACCTGTGTCCTAACGGGGTGGGAAGGAACTGCAGTTCCACACATGCGCACTATCTCTAGATTGTAAACCGGCCCTGTTTTTTCTCTAGGTGACGTCAGTGCAGTGGATGACATAATTTATGCCGTGATGCGTCATGACGCTAGCTTCTGATTTCGGTCCTGAGCACGGGGCGTCCTCTATGGTGCGTTAGCTCCCCTAGAGCGCCTCGTATCCTTCCGGAGGTGGCCCCGCCTTTGAGGCGGGGCAAAGAAAAGCCGATTTTGGCGGGAATTGAAAGGTAAGCGGTGCGCTGAGGGGGAAGCCGCCGACGTTTCGCAAGTGCTTCAGGGAAGCCGCTGGGGACGATGGGTCACGGTGTTCTGTCTTCACCGCGTGGTTTTAAGCAGAAAACGGGCCCGCCGCTGTGGACTCGGCCGCTGTCTGTCCTTTGGCCTGTGTTTTTTGCGGTGGTTCCGCCCCGCCCCTCTGCCCTTCCAGGGAAGTTGGGCGCCTGTGGAAAAAGGACTCGTTCACACGACATGATACACACGGGTTCAGGGTACAACGGGAGGGAATTTCTGAGAAAGTTTAATGGTGGGGAAGCTGCTTAGGAAGAAGGCCACGGGGCCTGGCCTGTTGTGTGAACAGGGCCTTTGACTGAGGGAAAGCATGAGACGAGAATCAACAGGTGGAAACTAATCAAGGAGAGAAGCAGCCTAGAACTAAGGAGAAACTCCCTAACAGTCAGAACAATTGATCAGTGGAACAACATGCCTCCAGAATTTGTGAATGCCCCAACACTAGAAGTTTTTAAGACGATGTGGGATAACCATTTGTCTGAAGGGGTGTAGGGTTTCCTGCCTAAGCAGGGGGTTGGACTAGAAGACCTCTAAGATCCCTTCCAATTCTCTTATTCTATTTCCCAAATTTGGCAACTTTAAGACTTGTGGACTATGATGAGGCATAGCTGGCTGGAGAATTCTGGGAGTTGAAGTCCACAAGTCTTAAAGTTGCCAAGTTTGAAGACCTGTTCTATTCTATAACACGGTCTGTTAGAAGACAGCCAGAGACCAGGATGTCTATGGGGATTTTCAGTCATCTAGGTCATGGTTGTACCAAAGGTGCTTTTTCCCCAAGAGGCATCCTTCCCAGCTGGATTTGCTGAATCTGCAATTTGTTTAACAACTACAGTGATTCTCATAACAATTTTAACAAAAGTTGTAAAATCAAGTGTGACTTACTTAAACAGTGCCTTTTTTTNATTCATTCATTCATTTATTCCTTTTAATTGTAATTCTGTTTAATCATTTTATTTGTCATTCAATCATTCTGTCTATCATTCTATATGATTTTATCATTCATTCTGTCATTGTTATCTAGCTATCATTCTTCCCATAATTTAATCATTCTGTATCTATTATTCAAGTTATTATATCTATTTATCTATCTATCCATCCTTCCATCCATCCATCCATCTAACCATCCATCTCTGATATGTCTACACTGCTCAACTCCAAAGCGTTCCAAACATTTATTTTCTTTTTAAAAGACATTTGATGGGCCTTCTGTTAAAGTTAAGCTACTTCACAGACACAGAACTGAAACACATCCTGTCAGTATATGCACATATTAATTATTGCACAGTTTATAAAGGAGAAGATATCCAGAAAAATATGAGTTTACAAAGGGCAGAAGAGTTCTCTCTCTTTTGCCCGATAAACTTTCTTTTCTTTCCCTTCTTGTTATATTGAAGAATATTTGGGGGCGAGAGCTAGTTTTCTTAAAAATTCAAGATGTCGCCCTGGCTATACAATCAAATATTATCATGCAGGAAGATGTCAAAATTGGGCAGGTTTTTAATCCCATAATCCTGACCACTATTTTGATTAATTTGTGTATCTCCTTGAAGGCTCATGAACCCACCCACCCCAAATTTTAGCAATTAATCTCTGGGATGCAAAAGAGCCTGTCTCTACTTTCAATTTATAATTATTCCTGCAAATGAAAACAAAAATCATTATACAAAATACATAATCACAATACAGGAAGCACATCCTGGTAGGAAATGCAGCATCAGCAATAACAAGGATTAAAGTCCTGTCCTGTTTTTCTAAGGCTGGAGAAATTCAAAGCAATTCACATACCTGTTTTGGATGGGTGACTGCAGCGTAATGCAGAATCCTTTTTATTCTACACGCCCAGCCTGACAACTTTCTGGCTAAAAATATTTCCGCTTCAGAACGACCATCTTGAGAACTATTGAAGAATATAGCGGCCACCTTGTTATAGTATTGTTTTTTGTTTTTTTTAATACAGACACAGATCTTTCTGACAATGAATTCATCCTCTCCAGCTAAAGGTTGGAGTGGAAATGTTGGAATGACTGTGTACAATAAGAAAGGCAATAATTGCTCTACATACACAGAGGTGTGACCAAGGCAGTCAAAATGGTGACTGCATGATGTGTTTAAAACTCACTGAGTTTATATATGCACAATGCATTCCGAAGCTTTTAAAGAAGAGGCTGGAATCAATTTCTTTATCCAAAGAAGATATTTCATTTTGTTTCTATTTGGAAATCACTTCTGGATTTTTGTGCTTGTGATGAACCCCCCCCCCCCGAAACTTTGATTTTGTTTTTGCTGATTAGATAGATTTTCTGTCAAAGAAATGGTTAGCATACACCCGTGATGGCGAACCTATGGCACGCATGCCACAGGTGGCATGCAATAGCAATAGCAGTAATAGCAGTAGACTTATATACCGCTTCATAGGCCTTTCAGGCCTCTCTAAGCGGTTTACAGAGAGTCAGCATATTGCCNGCCAAGTTTGAAGACCTGTTCTATTCTATAACACGGTCTGTTAGAAGACAGCCAGAGACCAGGATGTCTATGGGGATTTTCAGTCATCTAGGTCATGGTTGTACCAAAGGTGCTTTTTCCCCAAGAGGCATCCTTCCCAGCTGGATTTGCTGAATCTGCAATTTGTTTAACAACTACAGTGATTCTCATAACAATTTTAACAAAAGTTGTAAAATCAAGTGTGACTTACTTAAACAGTGCCTTTTTTTTTTAGCAATGGTAATTCTGGTCCCAATTGTTATTGGAAGTTGAAGACTACCTGTACTATAATTTTTCAAGGCAGACAGTAACACAGGTCTAATCCTTTCCCATCCCTCCCTCTACAGGTTGCTAGAGTGAAGAGAAGCAATAATGCAGGCATTTCTGAAAGGTCCAGTCAGTGCTAAACCTCCCTCTACTAAAGAACGGGGAGCTGCTGCAACTGCAGGAAGCAGTGGGGAGAGCAAGAAACCCAGACCCGTTCCTTGGGTCGAAAAATAGTAAGAATTTTGCTCTGGTTTGGAATCTGAGTAATGTAATTGCTGTGGATGAATATGCAGACTTGAACTGCTACGGAATGAGGATGTTTCAAATTAGTTTTTTGATTGTAATCACCAGATTTCTTTGCTTTTTCTGTGTTTCTCCTTGGTTAATCTTTGGCATTTAATTGGACTTACATACCTATTGATAAATATATTAATGCTAGTCCAAAGTCATTTTGGCCCATGTTTCTATCAACCTAGGTAGCTTACAACAAAATAAAAATGATAATATAAAACATTGATGAATATATTTTATTTTTCCTTATGTACACCGAGATCATATGCACCAAAGACAAATTCCTTGTGTGTCCAATCACACTTGACCAACAAAGAATTCTATTCTATTCTATTCTATTCTATTCTATTCTATTCTAACAATAAATATTAACAGTAAAATTAACAAAGATAGCTAAGGAAGGAATGGATATACAGCAGAGTAGAGAGCCTGCGGTGATCTGCTATGGTGTTCTGTATTTATTTCCAATGTCACTGTTCAACAGAAAATATAAGCCCATGATGGCGAACCTATGGCACGTGTGCCATAGGTGGCACATGGAGCCATTTCTGAGGACACGCAAGGTGTTGTCCTGTCAGCTCCAGCGTGCAATTGCGCACTGGCCAGCTGGTTTTCTGCCTTGGTTTTCTGCCATTTTTCATTCTCAGAAGGTTTCAAGGAAGCCTCCTGAAGCCTCCGGAGGGAGAAAAACAGTCCAACGGGCAGCCCTGAAGTCCGTTCCCGAACTTCCGGTTTGTGTGTTGGGCTGTTTTTTGCCCTCCCCAGGCTCTTAGAAAGCCTCTGGAGGACCTCCAGGGGGTGGGGGAAGCCATTTTCACCCTCCACAGGCTCCAAGAAAGCTGTGCGTGCATGCACGTAGGGGTGGGGTCACACACGCATGCACAGGGGGCATAGCACGGGGGGGGGCATTAAATTATGGGGGTAGGCACGCTTTTGGTACCCGAGGCGAAAAAGGTGCGCCATCACTGATATAAGCCCTGAAACAGAGCCGGTTCAGTACAGCGTTCGTCTGTTTCACTTCATCACCTTGTCTTTTAAAATATATTTAGACTTGTGCATTATTTTAGTCATTACCTGAAATGACACTACCATATGTGCTCACTGGACCACCTAAGGAGATTGGAAAAGATTATATGGAAGCTCAGTCAGTATTGAAGTTAATCCTTTATCTGATGATATGGAGACTAACCCCGTCTCCCCAGGAGGCAGTATTTTGCTGATACCTGTTTTTTTTTACAATGTGAAGGATAAATGATACGCTTATGTGTAATGACTGTTGTTATGATACAATAGCTATATATTTGTATAATTTTATTTTATTTTCTTTTAGTAATTTATCATTGATTGCCTTCATCTTATTAAGACCATTAATGGCTGGAATTTAGATCCTGTTATTGTAGCAGCTACAATGTCAGATTTCTAAGCAATAAAAGAGGTGCAAAGCTCTTTGATCTAAAGAATAACAGAGTTGGAAGGACCTTGGAGGTCTTCTAGTCCAACCCCCTGCTCAAGCAGGAGACCATACCATTTCAGACAAATGGCTTGTCCAATCTCTTCTTGAAAACCTCCAGTGATGGAGCAATGAAGATACTGTAATCATAATATTCATTTTGATTTTTAAAGAGTAATTGGTGCAATACCTAATGCAGTGTTCATTTTTAAATATCTAGCCGTCCAAAATGCATGGATGAAGTTGCATTTCAAGAGGAAGTTGTGGCAGTACTGAAGAAATCCTTACAGGGAGTTGATGTGAGTGCTGCAGTCATTAAAATAATTGTTTCATGTGGAAAGTAAATGAAGATGGGGAAAATTTATACTGTTGCCAGCTCTTAATTGTTTTATCAAAATTCAAGTATACTCTTAACTGTTGAAAGATGCGTATTGTGAATAAAGGAGCCAGCTTCCTAAATATTAAAGCAGCTGTATCTTGTTTTTATCATAGTTACACTGCCATTTATATTGCATGTGCCAAGTGATAGTATAGGTAGTCCTTGACTTAGGACCACAATTGAGACCAAAATTTCTGTTGCTAAGCAAGACAGTTATTAAATGAGTTTTGCCTCATTTTATGACCTTTCTTGCCACAGTTACTAAGTGAACAGTTGCAGTTGTTAAGTTAGTAACATGGTTGTTAAGTGACCCTGGCTTCACCGTTAACTTTGCTTGTCAGAAGGTTGCAAAAGGGGATCATGTAAGTCTGGGACAATGCAACCGTCATAAATATGTAGCAGTTCCCAAGCGTCTGAATTTTGATCATGTGACCATGGGGATGCTGCAATAGTTGTAAGTGTGAAAAATGGTCTAAACTCACTTTTTCCAGTGCCTTTGTAACTTTGGTCACAAACACTTGTAAATCAAGGACTACCTGTACTTCTTAAAAGCTTGGTTTACATATTGCAAAATATTAAAGTTTGTAGCATGTAAAAAATTCTAAATATACTTTTTAATCTACTTTATGGATTACAGATTCTGCTGTTAATGATGTCTTATGTCCCTCTTTATGTTTCTTACTACATGTTGTTTACATAGCAATTTAGGAAAGTAATTATAAATGATATATATCAATAATTTTTAAAAAATGGTGTTGCTTCTCTTTTGAATTTGACTCTTTGTATAATGTAAGCTGACTGGCTTCTTAGATATTTATAAAATTGGATTTAAATATTACTACATTTGCTGGCTAAATAGGAAACTATTCATTTATAATTATATTTCATCTTTTATTTTTTTTGCAAAATAAGCAACTAATATTCATTATTTGAAAATTAAGTCTTATTGACTGAGATGAAAACAAAACTAAGCCACTTGCTCTGCATGTTGAAGGGTTTCTGGTTCCAGTATCTTCTACAAAATAATAAAACATGGCCCCCAATTTTTGGGCACCAGGGAATGGTTCAGTAGAGAGAGGTTTTTCCGTGGACTGGAGGGGGTATAGTTTCGTTTGCTGCCTGCATCTCACGAATGGGGCGTCACTTGTTTTCACAGACCAGTTTCTGGTACACCATGGACCGGTGCCGGTCCACGGACCGCGGGTTGGGGACCTCTGTACAAAGGGTTTTTTGTTTCTGTTTTTGTCTTTTTTAACGTAGTGGGTTTTGAAAGCATCCCTTGGTACAGTATAGATATCTGCTCAAAGAAGGACTACTAAACAAACACCTACACTACCTTTTTGAGTCTTCACCATTGTCTTGAACATCTTGCTTTCAATATTTAGAAATGTTTGAATAACTGCATCTGTTTTTGTTGAAATTTATGCTTTCTATGAAGTTTCCACAGATCTGACATAATTTTACCATATCTTTATCGTGAATTTTAATTTGTAACTATCCATGTATTTCTTAACCTTTTCTGAATTGAATAAGCTGTCTGCAGGTACATTAATTTTATTGTTGGAAAGAATGAAATACAATAGATGGGTCATTTAAACAGCCCTGTCTAAAATATGGCCATTCATTCTGCAATTCTTTTATATATTTCCCTGGAATTAAGTTCTGTTGAACCCACTCGGTCTTTCTTTTTAGTAAGGTTAGAACATAGCTTGTTAGATATTTTTGAATGTGTGAGGCTGTGAATGTGGAGTAGATATAGCAACATTTTGGAGAAAATATACACATTTTAGATTTTTTTCTTTCAAATGTTTTTTTTTTGCACTTCTTGTAGTTATTTAAAAAATGGGAAATATGTATTTGCTAAATATATTATCATATTCTTTAAATTTCTTTCTGTTGTAGCTTCCCAACCTCTTGTTCTATGGCCCTCCTGGAACTGGGAAAACATCTACTATTTTGGCAGCAGCTAGAGAACTCTTTGGGTAATATGAAGTTCAGTGAAATTGAATTTGACTCTATCCATATCTTGTTCTTCTCAGTAGAGTTTCTGGCATGAACATCTTGAAATTTTATAACACAGTAAGAATGAGTACTGTTCAGAATAAAGAATAAAATAGATACCCAGAGTGTATTTTATTTTCTCACCGGCTCAAGGTTGACTCAGCCTTCCATCCTTCCGAGGTGGGTAAAATGAGGACCCAGATTGTGGGGGCAATATGCTGACTCTGTAAACCGCTTAGAGAGGGCTGAAAGCCCTATGAAGCGGTATATAANTTGGGCCATTTTTCACCCTCCGAAGCCTCCGGAAAGAGAAAAATGGCCCAACATGCAAATCAGAAATCGGGCTGTTTCCAGCCTCCGGATGGCCTCCGAGTGGACAGGGGAAGCCATTTTCACCCTCCCCAGGCTCCTAGAAAGCCTCTGAAAAACAGACTTACCAGGCCCACCAGAAGTCAGAAAACAGGCTATTTCCGGCCTCCGGTGGGCCTCTGGGGAAGGAGGGCTTTTTTACCCTCCCCAGGCTCTTAGAAAAACTCTAGAGCCTGGGGAGGGCGAAAAATGGGTCCACCGGGCCATCACATCCCAAAAGTGGAGGTCGCGCGGGAGGTCGTCTGTGCAGAATTATGGGTGTGGGCACGTGCGCGCACCCACCCACCCACCCCACGCTCCTCCCACTTTTGGCACGCACTGGCAAAAAGGTTAGCCATCACTGGCATATACTATTGTACCAAAGTAAAAAAGTTGAGGTTGTAGGTTATTATCACCACCTCTGGAGCTTCTGGATGCTCTTCAAGGGCAGCCCCATGTAGAGCATGTTGCAATAGTCAAGACGGGAAGTTGCTAAGGCATGAGTGACTGTGAGTAGGGACTGTTGGTCCAGGAAAGGGCGCAACTGGCGCACAACCCGCAATTGCACAAAGGCCCTCCTGGCCACAACCACCACCTGTTCTTCGAGCAGGAGTCGTGAGTCCAGAAAAACCCCTAGATTATGCACAGAACTAAATTAGAGAAGACAGAGCAGATTACAGATGTCCAGAAGAAACTCCACGCTGGATATAGGCCTAGTTGCCGATTAATGGATCTCTTGGGTTTACAGATGCCTTACTAGATAATCAAATGGATATTATTTTTCTGATATAAGTTTGGAGTCCAGCTGGTATATTAGTTAACAGAATTACAAAGAGAAATAAATCAATAATGTAGTAATAAAACCTCCATTATATACTGCACGAGGGAAGCAGGCATAATTACTACAAAAATCTTAATGAGAAAGGAAGATTTATTGCTTTTGACCTCAACCTTTCAAACCCAAGGAAAAATGCATTATAAGATTAGGGTACAAGAGTTGGAATGGGGTTAAGGGGGGTGCATTCAATATTTACAACCGTTCTTAAATTTAGCAGAGAGGGTGAAATGCTGTTCTTAATTTAGCAGAGAGGGTGAAATGTACTTAATGTACATTTTAAAATCCACACACACACACCAGTTTCATGAAAAAAATATTTCCAAGAAAAAAAATCCTTCTGACATTAAGGACATCAGACAGTCAAACAAATTCTTTTATTTATATTTATTAAGAGTTTTCATATGGTAAAAGATAAACCAAAATGAAACGAAAAGAAAAAAAAGGAAAAGGAAACTAAATTTAAGAAATATGAGTGATTTCCGGCCTTTTTTTCAACAGAATAACAGAGTCGGAAGGGATCTTGGAGGTCTTCTAGTCCAACCCCCTGCTCAAGCAGGAAATCCTATACATTTTCAGACAAATCCAATCTTTTCTTAAAAACCTCCAGTAGGCTAGACGTTTCACTTATTAATTGTTCTGTCAGGAAATTTCTCCTTTGTTCTTGATAATTACATTCCTATTGTTCCTCTCCCATCTATTTTACAAATACACTTACCCCCTATTTACTCCACATCTTTCTTGATCCTCAAATCCAAAACCCCTCAATTTAATTTATTTTCTTCTTTCAGAAAAAAACAACAATTCTACAAAATTTCCAGTCTATCCAAAAAGTTTCTATAGTTTGCATACAGCCTGGAAAACAAATCCTGATCACTGTTTGTGATACATATTTATTTAAATAATCTGTTCCAATCAATTCTGCTCTGCCTTCCCATTTCGCTAGCTGTTCCAGTAACCTACATAATCATCCATTTCGATTGTAAAGTGAATATTGTAATAAAATAATTTCTCAAATCGGCTGCTGTGGTTAAACTATATGAGCGTTATAGCCCTGTTACAATATCCACTTTTTAATACTACCATGGCCAACAGAATAAACCAAGCTTTAATAAAACCCCTTCTATTCCTGTAATAATGGAACTGCGTAAAATGTCTTGTGGAATGAAAGGGGCTAAATATATATTTTTTAATAAAGGAGGACTATTTTTAGATAGCTATAGTGCTCTATTTGAAGAAAAACATAGTTAATATTGCCTGTATACCCTTGAGGCAAGCTATATGCCCCATAAACTTAATTTATATTTCTGAAGCATTTAAAACAACTCTCAGCCAAGAACAGAACGTTGTTTTGATTTCTTCTTCTTCTTCTTCTTCTTCTTCTTCTTCTTCTTCTTCTTCTTCTTCTTCTTCTTCTTCTTCTTCTTCTTCTTCTTCTTCCTCTTCCTCT